TTTCTGTAGAGGAGTTTGTAAAAGTAGGTTGGCCCCCAGCCAGTGGCAGGGTGGTTAAGGTGGCTGTTTTCTACATGGTCAACTCTGCAGTTTGGTTCCTGGATCTGGTGACTTGAAAAATACTCCAGGCACATGTGGTGCATGCATGCCCCAAATCCCAGCAGGAGAGAGAAAGGAGTAGAAGGGATGTGGCATGACCATTTTCCATGGGGGTGGTGGTGGTGGTGGTGCGGGGGGTATTTTCTCTCTCTCTCTCTCTGGTTGCCAGGCACTCAGCTAAGCACACTGCATGCAGTAGGCTCATTTAATCCTTCCATTCTTTTGCCATGAAAACTATCATCATCTCCATTTTACAAAGAAATGGAGACTTGGGTAAATTAAATACCACAGCACACGTCACATAGCAAGTAGACAAGTCTGCCACTGAAGTCTGAATTCTAACCTGAATAGCACGTTGACTCTCGTCTCCTCAGGAGATAAACCTTTCTCCTAAATACATCGCATTTCTCTCCTCATCTACTCACTTGGCCCTGCCATGTGGGTCTTTTGGCAGCACTGTTGTGGTTTTTGTAGCATAGCCCAGTAATTTGTATATGGACTCTGTGGTCAGACTGCCTGAGATGGAATCCTGAATCTACTGCTTGCTAGATTTTTGCCTCAAGCACCCTTCTGAAATGTGGGTTCTCTATCTCTAACAGAGCATGCGAGTGGTCAGATTATTGGAAAAACTAAATGAGTCAGCAGTGTTTATAGAGCACTGACATAGTGTCTGACACATAACAATCACTCAGTAATTGTAACTCGTTATTAAAATTCTCAGCGTCTGTACCTTGTCTCCCATGAAGGTTCTAAACTAATTAAAGGCAAGGATTCTTGGCCTTTGTAATTCCACAGCACAGCACATCTCTCCAGGATGAGATTCCACTTAGGCTATGCTAGTAAAGGTTTCACTTTTGTGATTATCTTTTAGGAAATAGGCAGTGTATCAGTTATTTTAACTGTCATGGCCAGAGTCACATGATGTGAACTGAAATGCTGAGTGGGTAAGAGCTCATGAATTCACGGTATGTCAAACAGCTAGGAAAATTAACCTAAACCCATAAATTGATATACATAGACATGTGTATATATCTATATCTATGTCTATATCTATATCTATATCTATATCTATATCTATATCTATATCTATATCTATATATCTATATCTATATCTATATCTATATGCAGTGTAGCTCCACAAGTCTTCTTGGAGCATCTACTTTGTGCAGAAACTTGCAGTGGGTCCTGGGGAAACTGAGATAATACCAAACAGCCCCTTCTAGTTCTCTAAAGGGAACAAACACTACACTGATGAACAATACTAACTGTATCAAGAAATGTCAGATGGGAAAAGGCCCCAGGGGTATATATTTTGATTAAAATACAGCACTCTTACAGAATGGTTTGGAATTCTAAAACAAATAACAAACAATAAATAGCCTTAACTTACTGTTTATGCTATTTTTTGTATATTTACTGTATATTTAGTTCAATCCATAAAGCAGCAGATCATGCAAAAGATGATTAGTATTGCTTTTTTTCCCTTTTGGCAGGGGCAGGGGAGGGGATTGGGACACACATGTTAAAACGACCTTGAGTGCGATGTACAACCCCTATCATCATCTGGCCTTAGGAGAGCACATCCTGTTTGTTTAGACCATCTCATCTGTTTCTGTAAAATCCACCAGTATCGGAAAGCCAACATATCTGCAGTGAAGTCGCCGAGATTGTTCCAGTTGAAACCGGAAAGACAGTGCTGTTCTTGGGGGAGCTGGAAATCTCTTCATTCTCACATGTAGATGTGTCTGATCCTGTGAAAAACAGAGCTACCAGAATTCTAATACCTGATGCTCACCCTTCCATTATCGTGTTTGCCTCTCTGACTCTGAGTGGGTCTCTCTCTGCCTCTCTCACTTTAATTTTTTTTTTTTCTGGAAGGCATGTGTGCATGCTGGTGGTGGGGAGAGAGAGAGAAAGAGAGAGAAAGCACCCCCACAGGGCATGGTCATGCTGCAATTCCCTCTCCCCCACCTCTCCTCAATGCCTCCCAATACCTGATGCTCACAGCCGCTGGTATTTATAGATCTGCCTTCTCAGCTCCATGAACAGGTATGGCCTCTGCTTCTCAGTGTAGCCACTTATCTTCTACAGCCGGGACTGCGTGATTCTCAACCCCACCTACGTCGTAGAATCCTTTCGGGGACTTAAAAAATGTGCTCAGGCTGCTTCCCTAGAGAATCTGACTCAATTGCTCTCGCAAAGTGTCAGGATCCTGTTTTCTTTTTGTTAAGCTACTACGGTAAAACCAGTGGACAGCAAGTGTTAGAATCTGCTAATATCTGGACAAAATAACACTTTGGTCTGTCTTCAGAGTCCCAGCAAAACATCTACCAGATTGTGGCAAAGCTAACAGAATTCAGCCAATTACACTTAATCTTTATTCTATGTGACTTTTATCCTCATGTTACTGAGCAAGAATGGGGCTGAAAACACAGCGATTTGAATTTCTTTTTGTTTTGATGCCTCAAAACAATTCGATGTGCTATCCTGGGCAAATAAATTGACCTCTGAACCTCTCATTTCGTATTCCATAATATGGGAATAAAATGCCTGATTTACCTGGGACATAGTGAAAGAAAAAGTAGGAAAATCTTTTGAGAACTAAAAAGTTGCAAATAAATAAAAGAGATCAAATGCATAATGTTTAGAGAGGGGGGCTGTTAGCCTCACCAATAAGAGTAGGTGGCAACCCATTTGCTAGCTTTGACTGTTTCAGAATATCTGTAGGTACCGTGTGACACAGTAAGTGATAATACTGTAATGTAGCCACTGAAGGCACACTCTTAAGTGTGGTATCAGTCAACAGGCCCTGGGAAATCAGTCATGGGGCCAACACTATGCAGTAGAATAAAATGATTAACCAAATTTTCTAGGGATCTGGAGAAGAGACAAAAAAGGTAGGCCAATGTAACAAAGTGGTCTACAAAATGTCTGAAATCAGTGTGGTCGTACCGTCTTACAGTTTGGGGAGGAAAAAACCTTACAAAGTGCAAGAAAATCTCAAATAAAAACTGAAACTGTTTTATAGTTGCTTGGGGATTTGAAGTTGTTTATTTTACCTTTCAAAGCCTCTTTAAACCTATACCAACTTGTTCACCATGGTTTTTTTCCTTATGCACTTGTCTCTTAATCAAATATGGGAATGAGGTAGGGGTAAAAGGCCACCTTTTCACAGAAGAACAAAAGATAAAATGAACCCGTTTGTTACGTGCATTTATTATCAATTAAATCAAAAGAGAATCTTTTCCACCCTTACCCTATCTTCCCTGGGCTAACCACTTCATCTATCTAGCTATTGATCAACTAACAACTGTCTATCTAGTTCATTTCCTTTTAGTTTATTTTCTTCTTTTTCATTTTTAGAATAAGGTGGCCTTTGAAGGTCCCCAAGGAAAAAAGCCTAAACCACTAGTCGGAAAATCCAGAGTTTAATCCTTGGGGGTTGTTATTAACATTTATTAATTTCTAAACCTATACACAAATAATCATGTTAAAAATTAGGAAAACTCTTCAAACTTTTCTCAGTGTTAAAAGAGCTGTTCATGTTCCCCATGAACCATTTTGTCTTTCTACCGTGAGGAGGGTGTTGTTAAAGATCATCGCAGGAGTTTGACAATGAGAATTACTTGTACTCCTGTGTCCCAGCTTGTTCTAAGTGCTTGGAAGAACAGAAAATAAGCTCGTTAACTGTCAACATGCACAACAAATTATTTATGAGACTATCTTTGGGGAGGAGAAAAAAGAATGTATACAGACGCGCTATCTCAGAGATTGAAAACCCGTTATGGGATAATATTTTATAGAAACAGTACATTCATGTATTGTCTGTGTAACTCAAATACAAAAAAAATTGACTATGCTAGCCTTTTATGAAAGGTAAAACAGTGTTATAGTGAAGTCTCATAGCCTGGCTTTGTACAAAGTATAAGAAAACATGATTTAAGCAAGTCGTGCATCATAGCATTTCTCCTCCTTTCTGAGAAAGCTCAAAACAAGTGTGTCCACCTCTTAAACGCCAACACTGGCTGACTTTCTTCCCCACTCTGACTACATACTCCCTTCTCCTCAGTCATGGGAGGGAGGTCGCAGCTTACGATCTACACTCTGCGGGTCATCCCTTGCCTCTCTGAGGACCGTTCAAGAGCTAAGACTCTAGCCTGAGCAACTCCTGCAAGACAAGGCTCCCCTTCCTCGGCAACAATGGCTGCTGGGCCAAGGAAGTGCTCCTGGTAGGAAGTGGCACAGAAGTTTGTAAATACTCTGGTCCTTAGTGTATTTTCTGGCTCTGGGATAGCAGAATTTATATTTGAAAAAATAAAAAAATAAAAAAGGAAAGGGGGAACAAGAAAAGTTTCCGTATAGAGGAAATCCTAAAGAATCCCAGCTGGGTGCCGGATACTGGTACTCAACTCGCTCTCCTTAAACATCGTCTCATCAACGTGACTGTCTGCACAGTGCTCCTGACCAGAAGTACTTTGTCCCCCTGACATACAGGTCCCAGTCATATAAAAGAAAGAAAACCAGACAAAGAGGATCACAATGGAAGATGCCTTAAGAGGTGCCCCTGAGTTCTTGTTATGAAGCAGGAAAGACCACGGTAGGAGAAATGCCTGTTACCTGTCTCGCACCACTGTCCCCTGTGGGCTTCTGTTTGGATCAGACGCCTAGAAGCTTCTCGGTTTCCTCTACAGGGATATTTGCCCCACAGCCTCCTTGGGGGCCTCGCGCCAGCAGACGGAAAGCCAAGCAGGAAGCATTTTGAGCTACAGGCTGGACTGGTAGCTCTGAACCCAAGCTTAGCCTCTTTGGGGCCTCCCCAAGCTGTGGTCCTCCCAGCCTCACAAAGCCATCCCTGAGAGCCTTACTGCTGAAAAAAAAAGAAATGATTTCCTAGTCCTCTTTTCCGGATGGCGTGTGTAGTTTCCCTCACGCCCATGGGAAGTCCTTCAGATCCTTCTTATCTAGAAACTTCTCCCCCAAGTGGACAGACTTGTTTGGCCAATGCCCTCCTGCTTGCTTTCCTCTGTCTGATGAAAAGAAAAATGAAACCAGAGCAATCCAAAAATGGGTTAGAGCTCATGAGCAGTGGATAATGCCTGACTTAAACCTTTAAAAGATGGCCACTACACCAGACAGCGATTTCAGAGTAGGAAAAAAACCTTAAATTACAAGGGAGTTTTCTGTTTCTTGCAGTGCCAAGAAGTCAGAGAATAAAAGAATTCCTAAAGGACGAGGCACCTAGAGAAGTTGTTTCATCCAGACCCTGGGATTTAGGGAGGTGCTACACTTCAAATATGCCACATTACGGGGCTGTCTAGTTTTCCCAGGTTTCCAGAGAGATTCTGACTATGCATTAAACTATAAATCCAGTGACATCTAAAATATCTCCATTACACTCCTATTTAAAGATAAGGGGATGTGTGGAAAAGGTACCGTTGACAGGCTGCATTTACGTCAGTGGGTTTAAAGATGAATTATATCCAGAATTTTTGAGCTGGAAGCGACTCTGTGTATCCTCATTTCACAAGGGAGGAAACTGAGCCCTAAGAAGAACCATGACCTGTCTTAAGATCAGAACACAGATCGGAAGTAATAATTTATCGTCTAATTAATCTTTTGTTTTTCCTTTGGAGATGTTTTTGCTATAGGTCACGTGCACTCGCCAAACAGACAGAGAGAGACATAGAGACAGAAAGCGAGAAATCACCCCCGGGGGGATGGTCACACTGCATGGAAATCACCCCCGGGGGGGATGGTCACACTGCATGGTCTCTTCCATTCTCCTCTCGGGATCTTGGGAACGCACGCACACACGCCCAGCGTGAGTTTTAAGTCACCGGGTCCGGGACACGAACCGCGGTCGACTACGTGGGAGTCCAGCGACATAGCCATTACGCTAACTGCTGGTTCCCTCGTCTAATTAATCTTAAACATCTGTGTGAGGAATGCTGTGTAGTTCCCTACTTTGGAGCTCTGCTCACAGAAAATTTGATGAATGAGGGTGGCATAGAGCCCAGGAATCTGCACTAAAATGAGTGTTCCAGGTGAGTCTGATGCAGGTAGTCTCAGGACTGTTCAGAAAAACCCTCATAATATTGGAGCAAGGACCCCAGAATCAGACACAGGGATATAAATCATAATCCCCCCGATTTCTATTTATGTGGCCTTGTGCACATTATTTGACCTCACTGAGACTTGATTTCATTATGTGTGAAAGTGGGATGATAATGGTGCTGAGCTTACAGACTCCACTGACACAAAGAGGAAGAGCTCAAGAACCATCTATTGTTACCTGGAGATCTGCCTCCAAGCTCATCTTCCCTCCCTGACCCACTCTGCCTCTTTTTTTCTTTGCTACTTTCCCTTCTTGCCACATTGAGCACCAATGTACTCAGGTCTGAGACAAAAGCATTTGTGGGCCAAGCAGTGGTGTAGTGGTAATGCAACTGAACCCATGTGGGAAGTGTGCTGGGTTCACATCCAATAACCTCTCTAAGCGAATACGTGCCTGTGCCCCAGGGCAGCTGAGACTGGGGACAGGCCATGATGTGAATACTGTGTTACGGGTGTTGTATGTGTGTCCCTCTCTCTCTGAAAAAATAAATAAATAAATGACTTTTTAAAAAAGTGAAGTATTTGGATAAAAAGAGGATGAACCTTTAACATTTTTCCCACACTTGGATACTGATTCTCAACTGTGTTCTCCAGTCTGAGTTGAATACAACTTGCCGTAAGAAGCATATTGCTGTCAGAATGAGCTCCTGAGCAAATGTTTCTTTGAAAACACTTTTTGTTCCTGATTGGTTTCAGTGTTGGGTGCAGTTAGTTTTTGGACATGGAATGGGGTGTTGTCAAAGTGGCTGTCCCTTTCCTTCCCTGAGGAGCAATTCCTCTTGTCTACAGTCCCCTGCTTGTTGCTAGGAACACTCTGTGCTTGCTACTCACACTTTACAATGAAAACAAAGACAAATAAAAAAATGGAATTGCCATATGGTTTCAGCTGTAACCCATAATTAACTTCTGAAGTAGAGACTCGCCCTCTTGCAGCTATCGCTGGAATTGACTGTCACAGAGGCCTTTCTCTTGAGTTCTAAAGGGTTGGAGTTGGTAGCAAGTTGGACCCAAACTTCTTCAACCAAACTGGGAACATAGCCTAAGTCACTAACTCACGGATCACGTACTCTATGTTTGCTAAAATGAAGTGTCTCTTAATGCTTCAGATTGCAACTTCACTGGAGATAGAGCTCCTACTTTCTCAGGCAGAAATTTCAGCACCAAATACTTATGTATTTCTGAGCATGTCCTATGCTGCCCTTTCCACTTTTTCACTCAGATAACTTTTAGTCTCTAAGTTACAGGTGTATTTTCAGCCAAGGACCCTCCTAATTGTTCTGGCCTGACCCAGGCATTTGTCTTCCTTAACCCCATACTGCCAGATACAGTCTTCTTGCAGTTACCACCCTGGATTCAAATAACATTGAATGTAAACACCTTGAGGGCAGGAACCAGTCTGATTTATTTCATGCCTAGTTCCTGCCATAGAGCAGGTGCTATGGTTTGAGTGTGTGGGCTCTAAAACTCATGCCAAAATTTGATCCTCAATATAGCAATTTTGGGAGGTAAGGCCTACTGAGAGGTACTTGGGACCCGAGAAAGGATCCCTTATGGATAGATGAAAGCTGTCTCCTGTGAAGGAGGATATTCTCATTGGACTAGTTCCCGCTAGGGTGGGTTGTTATAAACAAGCCTGGCTGATGGCCTGTCTCGTTTTGCACATTGGCCTTTCTGTTTCACTCCACTTATGCTGTGACTATTGAGCACTATGGAGTTGTCAGATGCCAGCACCAAGCTTTTGAACTTTTCAGCTACCAGAATGTGAGAGAGAAAGAAAAAAAAAACAAAACACCTATTTTCTATTTTCCTTATAAATCTCCTGGTCTCAGGTATTCTGTTGTAATACAAAAAGGATAGCTGGCATATAATAAGAGAACAATAAAAGAAAACGAAATTAAATTGCTCCATTTTAGTTTCCACTTCTGGTTCCGCCTCTCGACATTACAGTGTTCCAGGGCTTAATCCGTGGCACTCTTCTATGTTGACACTTATTTTCTAGGTGACCTCTACTAGTTTTGGTTTAAAATCTTTATGCTAATGACTTCCAGATGTAGAACTCTATCATGAAACTCTCGCCTGAACTCCTGACCTATGTATCCAACTGCCTACTTGACATCTTCACTTGGATGTTCAATAGAATCTCAAATTGAACATGTAACCTCTGATCTTCCCTCTCAAACTTCTATCGCAATAGTCTGTCCCATATTATTAAAGGGTACCTCCATCCTTCCATTACCCAGACCAAAACCGTAAGTGTCATACTGAGTCCATCCTTCCACACTTTACATTTAATTTGTCATTAAATCTTGTTAGCTGTTCTTTAAAAATGTAAGTATAATCTGACCCATCTTACTGCGTCCACTGCTATCATTCTCACCCAAGCCATCATTAGCACCTGACTAGATTATTATCATTGCCTCTGACAATGTTCTCTCTTCTTGCCCCCTTATGATTTCTTTTCAAGACTGCCACTATAACGGTCCTTATAAAGTACAAGATATATAATGCACATCTGGGTTCAACTCTCCTATGTTCCCATCTCATGCAGTCAAAGAAAAAGTCCTTTTAGGGTCCAGCAGTTGGCATGGTAGTTAAGGTGCTGGACTCCCACATGAATTGACCATGGTTTGAGTCCCAGACCTGGCAGCTTGCTTTCTCACTTTCTCTCTCTTTCTCTCTCTCTCTGGTGAGTGCACATTCCCTATAGCATATTAATAATAATAATAATAAATAAAATTAAATAATAATTTTTAAAAAGGGGGGCCTGCAGGTGGTGCAGTGGTTAAGATGCTGGACTCCCACATGGCCGACTGCGATTTGAGTCCTGGACCGGGTAGTTTGTTTTCTCACTTGCCCATTCTCTCTCTCTCTCTGATCAAATCAAATCAAATACTAATACTAATAATATAATAATAAATAAAATAAATATATATTTTTTTAAAAAGTCCTTTCAATGGATTGTGAGGCTTATACCATCTAGTCCCTATAGACTTTTTTCTTTTTCTTTCTTTCTTTTTTTTTTTTAGAGGTTTTTGCTACAGAGTACGTGCCCCAGGGGGGATGGCCATGCCACAATCCCTTCTCCTCCATTCTCCTCTTGGGATCTTGGGCATGCAACCACATGCACCCAGCGTGAGTTTAAGCCACTGGGTCCAGGACTTGAACCGCGGTCAGCTATATGGGAGTCCAGTGACATAGCCATTACACTTACTGCTGGTCTCCTCTCTTGATTTCTCATCTCACTCATGTTGCTGGCCTCCTTACCTATCGGTAGGTTTCCACCTCACAGTCTTCATGCTTGCTGTTCTCTCTGCCAGAGCTGCTCTTTGCACAGACCTTCTCGTGATTCACTCCCTCCCCTCACTTGCACGTTTGTCCAGACATCACTTTCTTCATCAAGTCTTCACTGGCCACCATATTTCACATTAACTCTCCCAATCTCCCTTACTTGCTTTGTATTTTTTCTTTTCACATATTACCCTTAATACACAAAAGTGCACTTCTAAAATTTATTAGTTGCCTCTACCATTCTTCTCCTCACTAGGATGGAATCTACCCCAGGGAAGAGATGTCTGCTTGGCTCATGAGAGGAGGGTATTTAGAAGTATAACACACATAGTTATTAATACCACAGCCTTGCAGTAGCATATGCAGAAAAGTACATAATGATTCAACTTACAAAATGCTCCCCCTCCACGTCTTGGCAGTGTAGTTCTTATTTATTTTTAACTACAACCAGATGTTGGTAACCCTTTTG